AAAGGTGGAGTTATCTTTTTAATATTAGCATATGAAAGTGGGGGCTAGACTGTCAAAAACTAGGATAATTAGTAGAGTCCTAATAATAATTTTGAATGATTCATGGTAAGTCGTAGATTGGAAATCAGTTCTCAGGTAGCACTATTGTTAGAAAAATACAAATTGGTTTATAACAGTCTGTTTAGACTATTTTACTACCTCTAACATAGTCAGTGAAATATTTTTTCTAATATCTTTCACTGTTTCTGCAGAAAGTGGAACATACATTTCATTTTACATAATAATAATAAAAAATAATGTGATAGAAGGCAACAACTGGCGTTTTCAATCCTTTTTGAAAATGTTTTCTTCTGCCAACATGGTGAATTAGTCATTTACCAATTACAGGAAAATTCAGAAAGAGAGAGCTTTGAGTACACTTTTTATGAAACAATTTATTTGTGTGTGTCTTCTGTCTGCATGTGACTTTGATAATGTTAATGACGCAACCTATTTTGTTTTTACACAACACCTATTTCAGTCTTCCAGCAATATACCTGGGTTGCAGTTAGCTACCAATAATAAACCAATGAAGAACAATCTAAAACTTGGTTTATCATCTAAGGCAATGTTCACAGGTTTACTGCAGGGTATTCTTGCAGCAATTTTTGTTTCAGAGTTTTTGGACTTGTCAGTTGCAGGAGTGCAATAGCAACCTATCTGATCCTGTCTTGAAGTGCAATCTGATTTTGTGTTTTATGGGTTACAGCACTTTGCCAATTTTATTTTTTAGCAAATAACCCTGTAGCATGGGGTTGATTTAACAAAAAAAATATACTGTGCAATTTGTAAGTCAATTTGCAGTTTTCAAAGGGAATTTTCCCTAAGCTTAGTGAATATGGTAAAAAATTCACCCAATCGCATGCAAAGAAAAAAAACAAAACAGTATTTATGCTTGAACATGGTTAAATGATGGAAGACAACAGAGCTTTACTTCTGTCACTAATCTAAGGGAAAATTCATTTTCAATATAAAAATTCCCTTGCAATGTCAACGACCTATTTTATCTGTAGTAAATAAACCCTATAATCTCAATCATACAGGAATTCAATTGGCTGACAAAAAAGAGGCGCTTAAAGAAGGATGAGCACTGCATTAATAATAAGGGGTAAAACTTTGGAAAATCTAGGTATGTTAAGTTGTCCAAATTCTAGCCATAAAGATTTAGGGAAGTATCAGATGGGTGGTTTGAGAGCTACATTTGAATGAAAACCCATAGTACTCCTTAGGCTTGCCCTACATTATACAATTTGATTTACATTAAACCTTTAGATTTACGAAAACCATATAATATTAGGTTGAACCTTTCTATTTATATGCAATCAGGCAGGCCCTTGCACTACATAGTTGAAGATCAGTTGAAGTCTAGGTTCACACCTATGCAGGTTGCTTTTGAGGTGCATTGTATTTTTGGACGTGCATTTTTGCTGTGTTTCTGATGCGTTTTTGTTTTTCTTTTTTTTTTTTTTTAATTTTTCCTGTTGCTAGGCAGATTTTAAATGTAAAACATAAAAAAGTGTGAAAACGCATAAAAAACGGAATACATGCTTTTCTGCAGCGTTGCATCATACATACTATGGGGGGTTTCAACTGGGGGAATCAATGGTGGAGAAGGATCTGGGGGTTCTGGTAGATCACAAGCTTAATAATGGCATGCAATGTCAAGCTGCGGTTTCTAAAGCAAGCAAAATCCTCTCTTGTATTAAGAGGTATAGACTCCAGAGACTGAGAGATATCCTATTACCCCTGTACAAATCATTAGTAATACATCATCTGGAATATGCAGTTCAGTTTTGGGCACCAATTCACAAAAAGAACACAGGGGAGCTGGAGAAAGTATAGAGAGGGACAACCAAGGAGGGATATGATCAACATGTATAAATACCTCAGTGGTTCATATAATGAACTCGGTGTAGAGCTATTCACTCTGAGGTCATCACAGATCTTTATGTCTGGAGGAAAATAAATTTAATCTCCAAACACAGAAAGGTTTCTTCACAGTGAGAGCTGTGAAAATGTGGAATAGACTCCCTCAAGAGTTGGTTCTGGCCAGCTCAGTGGATTGCTTCAAAAAAGGCCTGGATTGTTTCTTAGATACTAGCATTTATAGGTAAAGTTGATCCAGGGTATATCCGATTGTCTCTCGGGGGATCAGGAAGGAATGTTTTTCCCAGCAGGAGCAAATTGGATCGTGCTTTGCTGGGTTTTTTTTGCCTTCCTCTGGATCAACTGTTGGTATAGGATTATAACTTTTTTTTTCTATGGTTGAACTGGATGGACTTTTGTCTTTTTTCAGCCAGACTAACTATGTAACTATGTTCCCATTGAAGTCTATAGAACCAAAAACACAACATTCTGCGTTGTAAAAAGTCCCTGACCCTTTCCAAAAAATGCACCAGGTGAAAATGCAGAGATGTGAACCTGTCCCATAAAAAAACATGTTAAATGGACTGTACTACGTTTCTGAAAAACGCTGCAAAAAACGCTTAGGTGTGAGCCTAGGGTAAAGGAAATTGAACAAGAAAAATGTATAATCTATGTCCAGCTTAACAGAGAACGACTTTACTGAGTAGCTTCAATACTTCAAGATTTAATATTAATAGAGACATCCTAGCAAAAAAAAAAAAAACATTCCATGCGATTTCTACTAAATATGTACAAAATGACCATACATGTTAATTTCTCCTTTATTCATATAACAATAAACTTATGTTTGTTTTTGTATCCCAGAATACAGTCCCTCCGGGCTCATAGACAAAGGATTCCTGTAACTTATGTGGATGGTTGGCAAACCCAGTCCTGCATATGCACAGAACAATGGTGTATTGATGAACTAGCCACTTACCTGCTGATCACCATGATAATTGTAGTTGCACTATTGGGGGCATGGGCAAAAAAGGATTTCTATGTGTAACAGATCTATGGGACAGTGTGAAGCAACCTTTCAGCTGGAAATAACAAAGCACTGAAAGCTGCACTCTGATTGATGATACCTAAGAAGAATAACAGACTTATCAACCTTCAGAGTTATATTTGAGGGTTATTTAAATTATGGACAATGATAAGGAAGGAAAACTTGAATGAATGACTATTTATTATGTCACTTCTTAGTGACCAGTAAATGTTTACAGTGATTTTCTATCACATAATAGAAACTAAATTTTGAACTGCATTTTTGTCATGTGATGAAATGTGTGGTAATAACAGATTAAGTTATTTTGAATAAAATGAAATGGCTTTGTAAAGTATTCTGACGTTAAAATCCGATTGTGGGTATATCCTGTTTAATCTGTGCTTTTGTTGTATGACTTCCAATTTTTATGTTTGTTCAGTAAACCGAGTGACATTTAGTGTGTGTTTGGCTTCATGATGTTATCAGAAACTCTTTTGAAATCCAAAATGATAGTGACTATATTTGTCTGAAAATAAATAATAATAGTAAATAAGGTGAAATGCTACACTTTCTTAAAAAAGAACAAAATCATACCTCTCTGGCTAATGTTTCCTGGGAGGTCATTTACATAGATCATTTCCAGTTTGGAAACATTTTTTGCCTCAGCTGTTATCCAGGTAAAAGGAAATTTAACAAAGAACAGTGAAAAACTCCCCAACTCTAAAAAAATAAGTATATTAGGTCACCGATTTATATTCATGTTGTGATTTGCTGTTCATTGTCCAAAAGGTGGAAATTCATGTGAAGGTCATTTTTATTCTATCTATTCACCTAGACATTCCTGGGTGAACAAACAAATGAATGGAACCAGAGCCCACCCCAACAGTCTACTGGGCAACATTCCTAGTATTGTCTGATGGGATTAAGGCCTCATGCACATTGTGTGTTTTTTCAGCAGCTCCTAGGAGCATCTGTGTTTTTCCCCTGCCTCTAATGCACACATAGGCTTTTAGAGGAGTTTATGACCAATGAAATTAATTAACTCCTACATGCTTTATGCTGCTAACCTCAACTAAATGCATTACACACTTTTGCAAGTGTCAAGCGTTTTTATCTGCCAAAATGCCCCTGCCAAGAGAAAAGATGTTAGGAGAGATAGAAAAAATGTCCAGTCTTCATGAGGTCTTCGCATGAATGGTGGTTCCTAGTTCCTTAGATTTATTGAATTACTCATGCTCCACGGAAGATTCAGAATCAAGGGAAATAAAAATATATACGTAAGGGAAACACTCTTCCCTAATCGCTATATTGGCTACACATACATTATAATAGAGTCCCTGATTTTCAGAAGAAGCAGAAGCTGCTTTGAGGTCTCTAAATTCTGACATATAACAATCTAACATCATACAAATATTAAAATTATTAAAACATACAGGGATTTATTTACTAAAGCTGGTTCACTCAATCTGGTGCAGCTGTGCATGGTAGCCAATCAGCTTCTGACCTCAGCTTGTTCAATTAAGCTTTAGCAATAAAACCTGTAAGCTAATTAGTTTCCATGCAGAACTGCATGAGATTCTCAGTGAACAGGTTTAGTAAAATAAACTCCACAGTAACTAAGTCTGTTTACTTAAAAGACAGCTATAAGTAGGTATTTTATTTATTTCATGTACCGTATTTGCCGGCGTATATGACGACTTTTCAACCCGTGAAAATCTTTTGAAAAGTCGGGGGTCGTCTTATACGCCAGTATACGGCGAGCCGGTGTCAGGGCGGGCACTTTTTGAGGGGCGGCGCCGCCCCCCCTCCTCCTCCAACGGACACAAAGTACAGGGGTGGGCAGAGGGGCTGCTGTACCTTACCTGGCTCCGGTCCCACGACGATCCGGTCCAGGAAGCGCGGCTGCTCCTTTTTTCAGTTCGGCCGCTTGATGGTCCCGCCGCCCGCTCGGCTCCGCCTCCTCACCGGTGATTGGGTGCCAGCGAGGAATTGGGCGACCAATCACAGGAGACCAATCACCAGCGAGGAGGCGGAGCCGAACGGCACCGCGAAAATCAAGCGGCCCCGAACCAACGATGAGGCACTGTTCCTCCCCACAGACACCAACGATGGGGCACTATTCCTCCTCCCCACTGACACAACGATGGGGCACTATTCCTCCCCCACTGACACCAATGATGGGCACTTTTCTCCCCACTGATACCAACGATGGGGCACTATTCCTCCTCCCCACTGACACCAACGATGGGGCACTATTCCTCCCCCACTGACACCAATGATGGGGCACTTTTCTCCCCACTGATACCAACGATGGGGCACTATTCCTCCCCACTGACACCAACCATGGAGCACTATTCCTCCTCCCCACTGACACCAACGATGGGCACATATTCCCCTCCCCACTGACACCAATAATGGGGCACTATTCCCCCCCACTGACACCAATGATGGGGCACTATTATCCCACTGATACCAATGATGGGGCACTATTATCCCCACTGACACCAATGATGGGGCACTATCCCCTCCTCCCCACTGACACCAACGATGGGGCACTATTCCTTCCACTGATACCAATGATGGGGCGCTATTCCTCCCACTGACACCAATGATGGGGCACAATTCCTGCCACTGATACCAATGATGGGGTGCTATTCCTCCCACTGACACCATGATGGGGTGCTATTCCTCCCACTGACACCAATGATGGGGTGCTATTCCTCCCACTGACACAATGATGGAGCACTATTCCTCCCACTGACACTAATGATGGGACACTATTCCTTCCACTGACACTAATTAAGGGACACTATTCCTTCCACTGACACCAATGATGGGGCACGATTCTTCCCACTGACACCAATGATAGGGCACTATTCCTCCCAGTGACCAATGATGGGGCACTATTCCTCCCACTGACACTAATGATGGGACACTATTCCTCACACACTGACACTAATGATGGGGCACCATCATTGGTGTCAGTGGGAGGAATAGTGTCCCATCATTGGTATCAGTGGGAGGAATAACGCCCATCATTGGTATCAGTGGGAGGAATAGTGCCCCATCATTGGTGTCAGTGGATGAAATAGTGCCCCATCATTAGTGTCAGTGGGAGGAGTAGTGCCTCATCATTGGTATCAGTGGGAGGAATCATGCCCCATCATTGGTCTCAGTGGGAGGAATAGCACCCCATCATTGGAATACCATACTGAAATACCATACCATATTGAAATCAAATCTGATGTTTTTTCATTTTTATTTGGTGTGTGTTGGAAGAGGGGTAGTCTTATACGGCAAGTATAGCTCAAACCCTATATTTTAACAGGAAAAGTAGGGGGTCGTCTTATACGCCCAGTCGTCTTATACGCCGGCAAATACGGTACTTATATAATGCCGCCAATTTACGCAGTACTTTACACATATATATTGTACATTCACATCAGTCCCTCCCCTCAAGGAGCTTACAATCTAAAGTCTCTAACTCTAAATCACATTCATACATTCACATACTATGTATTGCCCGCAATTGTGGACCAACATGGATCAGTATAACTGCTTTGTAGTAAAGTTCAAGTTTACCATGTTCACAGCTTGCCATGTTATTCTTATACTAATACTCGTTTTCCAGATAAGAATTCAATGTGTTTGTGGCATTACACATGCAAAGTTCAGGCGAGTGAGCAAATGTTAACATAATCCCTTAATACTTTTTTGTATGTCTTTATTCATATTGCTTACCGTTTATATACATTTTTTAATTTGTTCAAAAAAGGAAGCAAATCAGGCATACCTGATGATGGAATCTATTGCAGGCTAAAATCCCATCAAACACCTGATAGTGACATTATAGTAATCTTTTTAGTTAAGCCATTGTTTTCATTATTGTGCAGGACACAGGTCCTGGTTGACTTGGACTCCAAAGGACAGTTCTCCCCTTTTGTAGATTTGTTCCTCATATATGTTCCAAATTGTACCTGCAATTTATTTGACAGTGTTTCTGCAATTCAACATTTTTTTTTTACTAATTACTATTTTTCTTATATTTATTTATAATTTATAGTTTAGTATACTGCAGTATGCTTGTAAAATAGAATGGGCCCCTAACCCAATATAATAAGTGATTAGATTAGGTACTTCCTCAGCAGTAAAGTGTCACTTCTATTAATTTATTAAATTAAAATTTAATTTATTTATGTGGCTCTGCTAACTTTAGATATAGCTGTGAAAGGTTAAAGAATACCATGCCAGGTTTTTATTTTGTCAAGGTCCCTGTTTCAGGATATGACTTGACTTCTTGTCAGACAAAAATTCAGGTGAAATACTACCATTTGCAGTGCAGTTGGAAGAGGAAGTGAGGGAAAATTTCTGAAGCAGGCCATAGACCAGTCAAAATCTAAAAGTTGTCGAGCGAAAAATGAAAATAGCTCATACAATTGTGCCATCAATTGTTTTTTATTCTAAAAAAAATCCATCGTGTTGCATCAGGCACTTTTGATTGTCGCAGCTGGCACACTAATGATGCAAAAAATCAACTATTCAAAATTTTCATTCATTTTTTTGCATCATCTGTGGCCTAGTGATAACTGCCAAAAGTGGGATCTCCTTGCATTTTGGGTTGGAATTGCTATTTCAACTCATTTCTATTCTATTATCAGAGCAGAAAATTAGACAAATCTTTCCAACTTAGACAGCAATAACACATGGCAGAAATTTGCTTTAATATGTTTGTAATTTGATAGTAGGTATAAGCATAATAATAAGTGGACAAGGAGAAAATAGTGCAGAAAACGTTCAGAGACAAAAAGCAGCTTTTAATCATATTAGCAGTTAAATGGACAAAACAATCAAGCTGATATACTAAATGAAGAGAATCTTCAGTCTTTTTTAAGTGAACATTTTCAACTCCCATAGTAAATCAGCCTCTGTCAGTGAAATTCAGTGTTTGCCACATTTTTCTCCTTTTTTTCCGGTACAATAAGTTTTATTGAAATACAATGTATCAGAGCAAAGAGAACACAAAGACTTTTATGTTTTCAACATATAATGCAACAAACTGGCCAGCCCGACCAACTGGGCCAGGCTAGGCCTAAATGGGAGACCTAAAAGGTCCAGACCAAAACTCTAGGAAAGGGTGAATATGGGGGAGGGAGAGGAGAAGATAAGGGGTAAAGCTAGGGAAAGCCCTGAGAAAAAGGAAAGCAGTGCAGAAGAGGGGAAAATACGAGAGTCAGGAAGGAAGAAAAGAAAGAGAGCGAAGCCTGCATGTTAGCATGTGGCAGAGGGACTAGAGACACCCATGCAGTCAGGGGCAGAGTTGGAAAGGCATATGACCACTAAGGGTCCCAGACTTTCAGGAATTTAGAATGGGTGTCGTTGAGAATGCTAGCCATTTTTTCATGGACCATTAGGGTAGTCTGAATTCTGTTCACTTCCGAAACCGGACTGAGGGTTTTTTCCAAGCTCTGGCTATAGCCCGCTTGGCAGCTATAAACAGATATGTAGCTAATTTCTGCTGAATAGAGAAGAGTCCCAGGATTGGCAAGTGTAGGAGTGCTTGTCTAGCATCTTTGCAAAAAGGCACCCGGAAAAGGGTAGATAAAAGGCCAAAAACCCTAGACCAAAAACCTACCAAGCGGGGGCAGATCCACCAGGTTTGAAATTCGTCTCTGCGTTGGCCACAGCCCTAAAAACACCTATCATTATAAGATGGGTTCATGTGAGCACCCAGTACCAGTGGAGGACTTTATAGGCCACTTCCATCATAGCTGTGTTAAAGGAACATCTAGCCATGTTGGACCAGGCCTTGCTCCAGTCCTCTAGGTCCGTAGGGATTGCTACATTTTGTTCCCACCCGGTCACATAGGGAAGGGGACATGGGCCTATGGCCTGAGGTCAAGGAAGAGTAGAGCGTGGTGATAGTGCCACGTGCACTAGGAGAATGGAGACAAATGTGTACAAAAGCTGTTTTCTAAAATGGGAAAGAGGAATTGCGGCACAGAGCAAGGATCCAGTGGGGGAGTTGCATATAGTGGAAAAATTCAGCCGGGGTGCATCTTAGGATTCTCACAGTGAGGGCCAGGATGGAAAATGGCAGGATCCTAAGAAGTAGTGGATTTGACTGAACTAGTGTGCGAGCCACCACAAGAAGGCCTGGGGTTGTTCTAATCCTGGGGTTATGCAGCAGGGGTAGGAATGGGGACATAAGGTTGCCAGAGTATTGGATAGCGTCCCAAAGGTGCAATGGGACATAAGAGGGATCAGAGACTGGGGGTGCAAATTGGCTGGTAGCCACGGGAGGGATGAAGGTGGAATGGGTGCGCAATTGGGGATCTCTAACAATAACCAGTGGGGGACATTTGACGTAGCATGGAACATGGTGAGCTGGGAGATTTGTGCTATGATATTTAGAAATGTTGGTGCCAGCTCTCAGCCTGTGGGTATAAAGGACTGAGCACACCAATCTTTAGCCCAAATAAAGGAGAGGATCCTGTTCTGGAGAAGATGTAGGAAAAAAAGAGGGGAGCCAAATTGGCAAGCTCCGAAAATAATATAAAAGTATGGGAAGAATGGTCATCTTGACAGCATGGATTCGGCCAATCCAGGACAAAGAGGGAAAGCACCAGGATTCAATAAGGGAGGTGACAGTACGCAAAAGAGGGTAGTAATTTACTGTGAACAGAAATGAGTAGGAGGGCGTCAGACGGATCCCTAGGTAGTCTAATTAGGAGCTCATCCGGTGGTAGGAGAAGGACGCTCAAAGGTTAGATACCACTAAGTCCAGAAGAGTAATGTTCATAGCGGTCAACTTATGGGGGTTAATTTGAAGACCATAGATGGCGGCAAAGGGGACAGGAGATTTTCAAGGTTAGGAAGTGTGATGATGGGATTGGTGAGGGTCAGGAGTGCATTCTCCGCAAACTGATCTTATATGATTCTCCAGCATGAGGGATCCCAGTGATGTTTGAGTACAGAGCAGAAATCAATGTTAGAATGGAGTCTCCAAAACCCCATCCTCACAAAATGTAGCAGAGATAATCCCATGAGAATGTGTTGAAGGTTTTATAGATATCCAATGAGAGGAGGAACCTAGGGATTTTACTCTGGTTAAGTAAAGTGATGAGATGGATAACTTTGCGAATATTGTCCCCCACCTGACAGCCAGGAACAAATCCACCTTGATCCCTGTGGGATCAACTGTCGTAAGTACTTATTGATATGGGTAGATAGGATCTTTCCCAGAAGCTTCATATCCTTATTTAGGAGTGTTTTGTATGCGAGTTTGAATATCAAGGTATGTGTCTTGTGCCGTCAGGAGCGAGTTGTTAAGCCTCCACTGGGAAGGAGGAAGGGGGGAATTGGCAATTGTCACAAAAAATACCAAGGGATCATGGTTCGACCAGGGCATAGAGCAGATCATAATTTTATCGATACTGGATAATGAGCGTAGGAGGACTAGAACATGGTCAATTCTGCAGAAGCTGTTATGCAAGTTGGAATAGAAGGTGAAGTCCTGGTTGCATGGGTACAATTCCCGCCAGGCATCTATGAGGCCGTGGGAGTGCAGAAGTGCTTGCATCTGGTCCTCTATAGCTGGGTCATGCAATTGGAGAGATCTGGGTGCGTAGCACCTGTCAACCGAGGAGTCAAGGGCTACATTTGTGTCTCCCATAAAAAGGAGAGTCCCCAAGCAGTGACGCATAACTACTTGAAGTAGGTGAGAAAAAAAATGACTGGGGGCATGGGCATAGTATGTCACCAACATGACCCCCTGGCAATTTAGTGTCCCTTGTAATAGAAGGAATCTACCCGTAGGATCTGCTATTTCAGTAGGGGCACATCTGGGTGCATAGCGCCTGTCGACCAAAGAGTCAAGGGCTACATTTGTGTCTCCCATAAGAAGGAGAGTCCCCGAGCATTGACTCATAGCTA